TAGGGTGTTGGGGCTTAGGGTTTAGGGTGTTAGGGTTTAGGATTTAGGGTGGTGAGCCCCACTACAGTTTGGGTTTAGGGTGTTGGGGCGTAGGGTTTATGGTGTTAGGGTTTAGGATTTAGAGAATTGGGGTTAAGGGTTGTTCAGGGTTTTGGGGTTTAGGGTTTTGGGGTGTGGGTTTAGGGCCCAATACCCTTTCAGGACGACAGCAAGAGTGTTGGACATAGATTTAAGGTCCGGGGTCGCCTTGTTATCGTTTGAGGTAATACAGGGGCCTAAATCAATACTTACCAATACTATCTTGGGGGCTCTTTATTGAAATTATGGTCTAGTGGACCCCAAAGCCCAATTCTGATTCTTAAGGCCCCTATGTGAGGTTCCTTAGTCAGGGTTTCTGAGGCTTCCCAGAAGCCCGGGTTCAGGGACATGGTTGGCAGCAAGCTGACAAAGTCTTCGTCTCAAACGGGGTAACGGGTTTGAAAGGCTAAGGCGTTTGAAAGCCCCAAATCCTACCACCCGGGGCCTAAAACTCCAAACCCGAACAAGAGAACAACACCAACACCCCATGGTGATTTTGAACTCCGGGCTGCAGTAAGTGCGTCAAGCTTTTTCTTCGAGGCTTCTGGAATGACGGTTTTTGGTTTAGGGGTTTCGGGTTGATAGTTGCATGTAACAGCCCGACACAAACTCTGCTACCGCAGCCCCTCAACTCTAAACCCTCAACCCTGAACTCTGTTTTGCGACGTGCAGGTCTGGGGTGACGCTCCACCCATGGATCAGGAGGTGTTCGCGGCGCTGCCGCCAGAATCTCCAGATGCCTGACTACCCGTAGTTGAGGACCCCTAAACCCTCAACCCCTAAACCCTAAGCCCCCTCAACCCCTAAACCCTAAACCCCTAAACCCCTAAACCCTAAATCCTAAGCCCCTGAACCCCTAAACCCCAAACCCTGAAGCCTAAAGCGCTTGGGTCTCTGAGGGGATTCGGGTCTATGGGTGTTAAGGATATCTAGGGACGGGAGCAGGGCCAAGATGTGCCAAGAACAGGCGAATCTCCATTGGGAGGGTTTAGGGTTCAGGGTCTGGGCTTTAGGGTTTCGGTCTCGGGGATTCTGAGACGCAGGTTTCGTGTGTACTCTCTCCCTCCCCCCGCTCTCTCTCTCTCGCTCTCTCTCTCTCTCCCTGTCTTTCTCTACCACATAGTCTAGCATACGCAAAGACATCTAATGCAGTAGCACATACTGCACTTGTGCCGAGGACCAGTTCATCCCATCCCCAGTGATGATCGTGGAGGGGCAGTTTGTGTGCCTCTCGGCGAGCGGAACCGCAACTGACGGAGCCGGGGAGTCCGGCCCGAATCGCCTCTTTAAGGCTCTGACGCCCTGTAAAAGCCTGTAGGGGGTCTAAGCTAAGGCTGGTCTTGGACCCCTCAAACCTGTGAGGCCCGTTCACCCCTGGAGTTTCAGAGAGTTGGGCGATCCCTGACAGATGCCCTAGAGAGTGGGCCCCCTTGGTTTCTAAACATGTTCGTACTACTGTAGCATTTATGGCTATTGATCATGGGTATTACTGATGATGACGATGATTACTATGATGAGTATGATTAACTGTGGTTTTATTCGGCACAGATTCAGGAAGCTTCCAGATTCTCCCAGGCCCACCCAACGAAATGCTCGGGGACGGCCCGATCTTCGAGACGGAAGACGAAGCGCAGGAGATTGGTGACTGTGAGGCCCCTTCTCCGGTTTGGGGTCTTAGGGCTCAAGGCTGTGTTTGTGTTGGGTTTTCTAGGATTTGTGTTGTGGGCTTGGGTGTTCTTTAGGGTTGAGGAGTTTTAGGGTTTTCGGGTCTGGGCTCTCGTTAGCTTTTCATTTCTCGCCAGCTCTAGTTGTTAGATGTATCTGTATCTGTATATGTGCACGTATGTAGTCATGTAGCCATGTCGCGCGAGCATGATCTGCGGTGTCTAGATCTAGGTTCACGCCATGTGAGTGCAGCTTTGTCGGGGTGGCTTCCGGGCGTGTTCTGGTACTTGTCCTCGCAAGTTTCTTAGTCCGGCGGCTTCTGAAAAGCTCAATGCCATGTGCCAGCTCAAGTGCAAGAACATGGACGAGTGCA